GAATAGCCTGTGAACGAAGAATCCAAAAGAAGACTGCCAATGGTGGAATCGCCGTGACAGCCGCTCTGTCGAAACCCTTCGACAAACCTCACCGTACTTTTCACATCCTCTTGCTCCATTGCAGAGCCGCCAGGATCGGAGCCGGCCGGACCAGAGGTCCGACTCGCCCCCTCTCTGGTCCGTCTGCACCTCGCCCTTCTTCCTCTTCACTTTCTTCCGCCTCTTCAATCGCTCCACCGCATCATGATTCATCTTGCACTTGGTCAGCCGCCTGCAATGCCCGTGCATAAACTGCGGGCACAGGTTGGCCTTCTCGTACTTGGCCACGTCATGGTCGAACTTGCACTTGTCTCCATTTTTGGCGTCCTCCACGCCAAACCATGCTCCTGCAGACAGTTCTCCTCTTCTTCGCAGCCGCTACTCTTCCTCTCCAGCTTCTTCTGAGGAGTCATGCGCCTCAGCCTCTTGGCGAACAAGTTTGCCCGCTTCTTCTCCATGACCTTTGCCTCATCCTCTTTCGTCTCTACCTTAAACCTTGACACCTCAGCTTGTGTTGGTCCGCTTGCCTCAGCTGGCTCTTCTTAGCGACTCGCGCGTCGCCCGTCAGGACACGCACTTTTCCGCCGCCAATGTCCGAGCTTCCGTCTCGACGCCCTCCAGGATGTCGTTCTGGTACTCCTCATCTTTCACCTGGCCAGAGTCAAAGGATTGGTGCCATTTCTTGTCCAACTTGATCCTCTCCCTGGCTCTGTTTCCTGCTCCCTGCTGTTACCCATCTTCGCTTTTTCTCCTGCGCCCATGCCGCGGAGTGGCTTATACCAGCTTTCCTTGCCGCGTAGTAGCGGCTATCATGCCACTCCTGCCAGAGCACGTTCTCGCTTGTGAGCTTGAATTGTCCAGCCTTCTTGATGGCCTTGGCCTTCGGTCTTTTTCCTTCAGCTTCTCCTTGCGATTCTTGAGCTGCTCAACCTCAGCGGTGAGTCTCGCCAGAGTCCTCATCCTCTGTGTCCTCATTCTGCCGCCTTGTCTCGGATTTCCACATCGAGGTTGGCGATCTCCATCATCTCGATGGTCCGGTGCACAATCAATCCGGACAATGTACCAAGTGGCCTGGCTGGCAGAGCGGAAGAGCCCATCCGCAGGTTCCGATGTGGAGACTCCAGGAGATTGCTTTCTGCCTGCCTCTCCACGCGGCCACATCTCTGACAATCTGATCATTCTGTAGCCTCAGAGATCCGGTCGGATTCACGTATCTCCGCATCTTTCTCCAGATCTGACTGTTCATAGAACTGGCTGGGGGCCATCTTGCAGTGAAAGCAAACCGTGCGGTCGACCACGTACTCGAATTGGTTTTCATGTATCCACTTATTCTCACTCAGCTCACCACGATCGTTGGACTCGTCCTCAACCCACTGAGCGCACATGTGAGGCCCTTCATGATCTTCATCGGGCTTAGTCGTCGCCGACGCACACCCATTCACCTAGCATTGTTCGCATCCTTCCTCATCTTTCTCGGCCTCATCCAACTCATCCTCCAACAGGCTCACATAGTCCAATCCAGCAATAGACAGATAGCCCTGTCATGCACCTCAGCTTCAGGCTCTACTTGTCCTCCATCGTGGTGGTCGCCGTCATCGTCGGCCTCCTCAAAGCTGTTGACACCATTCTTGGAGCCTTTGCTGCCCTTGCCGCCTTTGCCATAGCCGTCCTTGCTGCAGGGCTTCTTGGGTTGCTGACCCTTGTGGCATGTGGGCTTCGCCGCATTCGACTTCCCCTTGCCATCTTTGCCCTTCTTGCCTTTGCCACCTTTTCCACCTCGGCCTTTTCCATTACCTTTTCCGCCCTTGCCGAAGTCGCCAGTGTCCATGGGAGCCACACCGTGATAGCGAGAAGTTCTTAATGCGGGTCCCAAGGCAAGTCTCCAGGTACATCACCAGCTCGTTGCGGGCATCTGTGTAGCCCGCATAGCGCTGCCGGTTCAACTGGCGCTATGTGCTCGAGGATGGCGATCTTGATCTCCTCGTCAAGCTGATGCCGCGAGCCGTCGGTCTTCCGCCTCGACTCATACTGTCTCACCATTTCCTCCCAGGATTCAACCGCCGTGGAAAGCTCCTCAACCTTGTTGACCTTGGCGGGGTTCAGGATGTGGCGCAACATTGTACGCCTCCGGCCTCCAGTGGACGGGTCAAAACGCTTGACCAGCCGTCTCCACGACTCCAGGCCATTGTTCTTACCCGCACTCCTCACTATGGTGAAGGCCTCACGCTCACAGAGCGTCTGCAGCAGTGCATACAGCTGCGCGTCCACCTGCTCGATGTCCCTCACCTCCTTGTGCGTGGGATTCGTGGAGCCCCATGCCGCCTTGATCGCCGCCTTGGTGATCTCATCCTCATGTTCCTCGGACCACTCTAAGACCTACTCAAGGTCCGGCATGGAGGCCACAATGAAACTTTCAAGCCGAACCCGCCAATATAGGAAGATCTCTTCCGCGCCATTGAATCTGTCAGGCTTCGCAAGGGCTTTCGTGTCGATCAGGGCGAACTTTCGTTCATGTTGGGACCTCATGGCGTCGGCAAAATTCGTTAGAAGGATCGAGATTTAATTTGGGAATGTTTTGTTTTAGTTTGGGATTTTTTGTTTTCCGTCCTGGCTACTAAAATACTGTAATTTACAGCATTTTCTCGCGAAATGTACGTATTTTACGCTAGTCCATCAACATCATCAGCATCGTTTTCAACATCCCCCGCATGTCAACATCCCCAGCATCACCAGCAAATTGGCTTCCCGCATCTCATGGTAAAAGTGAGGATTCAAATACGAGCAAACTAATCCCTGTAAAACACCTAAAACGTGGCGGCAGCCCCCCCCATGATGATTGAAAAAGTGACGACGGCAGCCCCCCCCCCCCCACGATGATTGAAAAAGTCTAAAAAATTGCGGGGGGGTTGGGGGCGGCGGCAGCCCCCCCCATGATGATCGAAAAATTAAGGGCAAAGAATCTAAAAAGGATCGGTCGCATGATGATCGAAAAAGTGATGATTCAATTAGGGGCAAAAAGTCCAACAAATAGCGGGGGGGTTGGGGGGGCGGCAGCCCCCCCCATGATGATTGAAGAAGTGATGATTCAATCAGGGGCAAAAAGTCTAAAAAATTGCGGGGATCGAAAAATTAAGGGCGAAGAATCTAAAAAGGAGCGGTCGCATGATGATCGAAAAAGTGATGATTCAATTAGGGGCAAAAAGTCCAACAAATAGCGGCGGGGTTGGGGGGGACGGCAGCCCCATGATGATTGAAGAAGTGATTATTCAAAAAGGGCCAACAAATATATCAAACAAATGCAGCCGGGGGTCATCAGTTCCTCTGCGGCAAGGCCTCATGGTACAAGTGAGGATTCAAACGCGGGCAAACTAATCCCTGTAAAACACTTAAAACGTAGCGGGGGGGGGGGGGGAGGCAATTCCCTCCATGATGATTGAACAAGTGATGATTCAATTAAAGGCGCGGGGGGGGTTGGGGGGGGCGGCAGCCCCCCCCATGATGATCGAAAAAGTGATGATTCAATCAGGTGCAAAAAGTCTAAAAAAATGCGGGGGGGTTGGGGGGGCGGCAGCCCCCCCCATGATGCTCGAAAAATTAGGGGCAAAGAATCTAAAAAGTAGCGGTCGCATGATGATCGAAAAAAGTGATCATTCAATTAGGGGCAAAAAGTCCAAAAAATCGCGGGGGGGTTGGGGGGGGCGGCAGCCCCCCCCATGATGATTGAAAAAGTGATGATTCAATTAGGGCCAAGAAAATATTTATTAAAAAAAGCAGCAGGGGGGTCAGCAGTTCCTCTGCGGCAAGGCCTCATGGTACAAGTGAGGATTCAAATACGGGCAAACTAATCCCTGTAAAACGGCAGCCACCCCCCCCCATGATGATCGAACAAAGAGGGGCAAAGAATCTAAAAAGTAGCTGTCGCATGATGATCGAAAAAGTGATTGCATTTTAATCGAAAGGGGGGTGGCGGGGGGCCCAGAGAGGAACTTGCGATGCTGATGATGCAGGAAGCCAAGGCCAAAAACCAACTGGGAAAGCATCAGGATGCGAAAAGCCAAAGCCAGAAAGCCGCCAAAAGCCGAAAAGCCAAAAAGCCAAAAAGCCACCTGCCGCAGCGGAACTGGCAATGCAGAGGATGCGAAAAGAGAGGAACTGTGAATGCAGATGATGCGAAATGAAAAGCCACAAAAGCCACAAAAACCCACGTAAAAGCCACAAAAGCCAAAAAGCCGAAAAGCCACCGACCCTGAAAAACAAAAAAAATCCTAAAAAAGAAAGAAAAATCCTAAAAAAAATTGCCCTCCACATTCGTTCGCTTTGGGTGATGCTTGCAAAGATCTGACCGAGGTCCTGCATCGTCACATTCGGCTGAGTGCCGGTGCCAGCGGCTCTCTGTTGCTGCTGTTGTTGAGCCAGCGAATTCATCTGGGCCTGCAAAAGGGCATTCTGCTCCTGGCTCTGCTGCAGCGCCTGCGACATCCACCGCATCTCATCAGCCAGCGCATCCAAATTCAATCCATCTTGGGCCATGGCTTCTTGATCCTCTTCGTCACACTTCCACTCAACGAGTTAAGGAAGTGACCGAGGTAGGCAAACTGCCTCTGCCTCCTCCTGATGGTCCTGACCTTCACGATCAGGCGGGCCCAGCGCCCGATGACGCGCCTCTCGCGCGTGGCCCGGTGGACCCACTGTCTGCCTATGACCATACCGGCCGAAACAGCCGGTACTGCCAACAGGACAAGCAGTGGCCACCCCAGCGCAGTGATGAACCCAATGACCCAGGCCACTGAAGTAGTCAGCAGCTCCGCTACCATGAAAATCTAATTTGACCGGCAAACAGGCGCGGCGGCATGCCGCGCTCCTTTTCTATGTTGAACAGCACACATGAACAAAAGACAGTGATTGGCATAACCTCTGCCCCATGATTTGACGATGGAAACGCAAAGCTTGGATTTGGAGTCCTGACGGAAGACCTCCAGCGCTTTGCCAGCAATCTGGTACATGTGGAACGCCTGGATGACCTCAGCAAAAGGCAACAGCTTGCTGCCACCTTGGCAAGAAAACGGGAACGAGCGCGATGAAATCCGCACCTGGTCCGCTGTGGCTTGGCCAGAGACCTTCAAAGCCGCCGTCACTTGGAACTCCACTGAGTCGAAGCTGAGACCCTAGCGCATTCGAAGAGACTTGTTTCACTTCACCCGGCAAGCCCACCCCAGGTCCGGCAAGCCTTCTGGTGGAAAAGGCTGCGCAGCGCCGGCTCCTTAGGACTGGGAGATTGCACAATAATAGGGTTCAAGAGGCAGGGCAGCCAACTGAGAAGGTAGGGCTTTCCTGCTAAAAAATATTTCTAGGCCCGCGTCGCGGTGAGTCACTTTGCTGCAAAAAAAACTTGCTTCTAGAGGCACCGCTTTCTCAAGTTGCGTGCTGGGGGGCAGAGGCATCCATGGGCAAGCCCTTCATGAGAACCTCCACCGGCTCCGGCAGCGGCATCCCGCGACCTAAAGCGATTCGTGGCTAAGCAAAGGCTCGACTCCCAACTTAGCCAAAGGCTCCGAACAAGAAGAAGCAAAAAGAAGCAGAAAGAAGCAAAAAGAAGCAAAAAGAAGCAAGGAAGTTAAAGCCCTTTCCAAAAGGCGTGCTCTGAGTGGCCAAAGCCGGCATCAAAGCCCTTGCCTGCTTCTCTGCCGCCTCCCTTCCCGTACTCAAGAGCCCTCGGTTCGTCCCTTCTGTCAAAATCTCGTCTGTCAGGCCCGTAGCTCGGGCCCTGGGGATAGCCGGGATAGTCGTAGCCTCCGTAGCCCGGATATCCCGGCGGTTGCCTCTGGTACGGATTCCCCGCGTAGCCCGAGAAACCTGGTGCGTATCCGTACCCTTCAGGTGGATAGCTGGGAGGCGGATAGCCTTCACCGTACCCCGGCGTCCCGTAAGCTCCCTCATCTTTGCCACCTTTCACGGGTTCTCAAAGAAATGCCAAGCAAAACCTTTGAAGCCTAGCCCTGCCTGGTGGCGGCGGAGGCGGAGGAGGCTCCATCTTGGCCTGCCAGTGGCACCAGAACTAGCTGACTGACCATAGTTAATCCGTGTGAACCCTAAACAGCTTGCCACAGCTAAACCACTCGCCAAAACTGCTTGAACCAAACATTTAAAGAACAACTGCCCAGCCTTAGCAAAGAATCGGGACCGCCCTGTCAACCCCGTAGCTTGGGCCAAGGGCACGGGTGGTTGGCGAAGGAAGAAAGGCCTTCACCTTCATGGCAAAGGTACACATGCACATTTCAGAGCTCTACAATGGAGCTTTGCAGATTGACAGCCTCAGTAAAGAACTTCTAGTTTGAGGCTGCAAACGCATGCTGAATCTGCCAGGCAAGCGCCTGACATGCCGATATGCAAGGCTGACTCGGCGGCAAGCTCGTTCTACTGTTCGTTTGACGCATGCCAAAACGGATGAAAGGGTCTACGTCCGTAAGAACGAAGGAGAAAAAGCTCATGCGGCGGACATGGCTTTCGACAAGATCAGCTCGTCTGTCCGGAAGTCTGGTTGCTGCTTGTCAAAGCCCCGGGCCAAGTAGTCCTGCATGAGCTGCTGCGGAACTGGCACTTTGACCAAACAAACACCCCTATCACAACCCGTACAACCTACCTATCAACCTGTCCTGCTGGAAGCTGCTCCGGAGGCCATCCAGCATGCTAAACTTGGGCGTCCAGTCCGGCACATCCCGCTTAGCCTTCTCAATCGACGCAAAGAAGTGCATGCCCCGGAACGGGAATGCCTGAAAGAACCGCGTGTTCCGCCCCGCGCACGCTCGAGAACGAACTCTACCCGTAGCCAAGAGCTCAGCGGCACATCACAAGGACGACGCGACGGCTACAACGGCTACACACGGCTACACATCCCTCGCCTTGGGGAAGCCTTCGGGCACCTCTACCAACTTGGGGTCGTAGTGGACGATCTTGGGTTCCGGGCCACCAGCCGCTTGGGCGCAGAGCTTGGCCATTCCATCGAAGGTCACGTACTCCTCGCTGGAAATGTTGTAGACTTGGCCTCGCTCGCACGGACCAAACTCATGCGGGTGGATCCCATGGGGAAAGGGCACGGTGCCTGGCAATCCCGCCCCCCAACACAAACCTCAAGCGAGGCCTGGTCAGCTTTGAGGACAAATTGAACTTCAATTTGATGGCAGGCAACCTGCTTCAGATGCAGGCTGACACACACACACACACACACAAACATCGCCTAGCCCCAGCAACTCAGACATTTTACCTAAACTCGACCTGAGATCTGCCTTTCACCGCGGGATTGCCGATACACTTGACCATGAAGTTGGCTAAGTCCTCGCAATGGCCCAGCTGAGTGATGTACTTGCCATCGTAGGGAATGCATACTGGCCGGTTCCGCGTGACCCGATCGAAGAAGTACCGCTCCACGGGGTTATAGTTCAAAGGCCCGTAGATGTACACCGGGCGGATGGAGGTCCAACTCAGCCCTTGCGACTCCAAGAACTGCTCGCACTGCAGCTTCTCCTTATGCCTGGAACCGTAAGGTGATAAGGTCAAAGATGTGAAATCGGTCCAAAACAAGGAGATAGTCTCCAAATCCGAACTCACAAATCAGAATTCAAATCATGTTCACTTATGTTTGAGCTTTGTTCATGATTCTTGACTACGCTCGGTTCTTTTGCTTGTTTTTTCGGTGATAAATGTAGTTTCCCGGATATATGCTTTGACAACACATGTTGTTGGAAGCAAACAAGGTTTCCCGACAAATGGGGGGGGGGGCACTCAAAGCGTTGTGGTTGCACTTGTTTCACATTTTCTTAGGTTTGTCTGGATTGACACTGACTGTGACTGTGGTGGCAAGATCTAGAAACAACAAAACGGAGTTCCAACCGAATACTAAACGAATAGGAATACTAAACAAGCAAACTAACTGCATTGTGCGTGGGTGGCCGGCCTTGCTCAAACCTTCTCCATTGCTCTCAGCTCTGCTCAAATCTTCACAAAGCTGCTAATCTTTGCCAAACTTGCATTTTGCTATATTCATGTGTTTGGCAAAATTTGGTCATTCCACTTTAGAATTGCGAATTCATGGTGGGGCGGTGGCCGGGCTTGCTCAAAGTGTCTCAAGTTGCTCAAATTTTCCGGAACCATACAAGCCTGCATTGCAACGCGTAGTTTGAGATCAAGACAATTCAAGTCATTGCCCTGGCCTCCAGGGAATCCACAGGCGAGTCATAAACTAGGCCTCCCCATAAATTAGGTAAAGCCATGTAACCCTGATTTAAGCCAATCAAAAAACATTCTTGGCCTCCCGGAACAGTGTCAGCAGCATATATTTGCATGCACTTGCACGATTTCAGCTTTGGACAGAAAACTTCTTCGAGATTTCCGGGGTTCGGAAACCGTGGTCTAAACCCTACTGATCTACCCGCGTTTGTGATTGTAGTGAAATTTAAATAGAAAGTTTGCTCCCAACCCCGCTCTCCTGGAGTTGGGATCTCCAGGGTTCTCCTCGCTCAAAGGCAGCACGTCCGTGGGCCCGTACACCCCTGCGCTGCTCATCAAAAAGAATTGCTCGCAGCCCCCGGATGCCTGGATGCCCTCCACAAGCGGCTGGACCTCTGCCAGCTTGCGCACGTTGTTGTCGAAGACCTCGTTGCAGCAGCACGTGGGCACGAACGCACATGCGGTTATGCGTGCAGCCCATAGGAGCTGGCCTCATTAAACGACGTCCCCTGTTCCAGCCCCTTCCTTCCCTTGAGTCACTAGCTTCGATAGCCTTTGGACCGAGTTGGCAGCGTGGTCGCCGAATCGGGCGCCTGACTTCCCGAAGATCTGGAGCTCAGCGCCTCCGCGCGTTCCCTTGACGCTCCGAAGCTTTGAAGCTTGGAGTCTTCACGTCTCCGCCTGCTCCGCTCGGAAGCTTGGCTAATTTGAGCAGTTCAAGGCAAGCGCGGTCTCACGCGTAGAAGGATAAGGGCCAAAGGGAAGTCGCCTCTCAGTCCTCCGCGCGGCGGCCCACTGCGCAGCACGCTGGAGTCAGTCTCCGCCTCGTGGGTGAAGTTCAGGAGGCCGACGTCAGGCCAAAGGGCTCGCCTAGCCAGCAAGGCTCACCGCCGGCAACCTGACAATGACCAGCGCCTGTAAGCTTCGTGTGTACGCCGAACCGCTCGCATGGGCAATCGTGCTTCGCGACTGCAGATTGGCACGGGTGTTGCCCAACTCTCTGCTCTTGATGTGGTCACCCATAACGCGCAGTTGTGAACTCATGGGGAAAACAGAAGAATCGCGTCTTCGGGGTAAACCTCTCAACTTCGCGTCTTTGCGTCGGCGGGGCGAAGCTCCGAAACTTCGCGTCTTCGCGTCTGCGGGCGAAGCTCCGAAGCTTCGCGCCCTCGCCTTCCGGTGAAGCTCCGAAGCTGCAAGGGCGAAGCTCTGAAGCTGCGGATCTTCGCGTCTTTGGGCAAGGCTCCCACGCTGCGAGCTGCTCGTCTTTGCGTTTCTCGGGGTGAAGCTCTGAAGCTCGTCTTCGGAGCTTCGCGTCTTCGGGCGGATTTCTGAAGAGCCGCTTTCACGAATTTCCTTAGACAGCTCAAGCATCTACTCAGTCTTGTGGTAATCTCAAGCGTTGATTTCCTGACATCTACGCGTACATTCACCTTGCCTGTACTTGCGCAGAGCGCGCGTTCAGCCAAATGCCTCCAGAACTAATATCCACCGGGTTTGTAGGCCTCTAGCCCTTGTTCTTGTTCGGCAAAGAGGCCAAGTCAAATTTTCCAGCGCTGGCGACTGCCGCCTTGAGCTGCTGAGGGTCCTTCCGGTCGGCAACCAACACAGACACGCCCTCCAGCATCTTCTCATAATCCGTGTCGGTGACCTCAGCGATGAGATCTTCCGACGTGTGGCGCTCCTTTGGAAGGTCTTCGTTTCGGGAAGCATCCGTGGCCCGCAATGACGAACCCGCTGCCTACACCATAACAGTCATATAAGACTGAACGAGCTCCGCTTTGCAAAATCTAAGCCGTCGAGGGCGCAGGCCAAAACCAACCAAACAGTCGGCCAGGGAGCGCCCGGGAGGCGGTCCGGTTGGCCTCCATTGGTCTTGCCACGGTTGCAGACCACCACGTCATGGCCCTGCTCCCTGGCCACCATTGCACAAGTTGTCTCGTGGGTTTTTTGTGAAGAAGCCTTCCTGAAAAAGGTGAAAGGGGGAAGTGTGAAAAACGAGTCTCGCCTGAGCTTGGCAACCAAATAGCAGCCGATGAAGCGGGTGCCACCCATCACCAGGCAACGCTTCTTGCCCTCGCTGCCAGCGGCACAGACAACGCGGCTGGAGCGCTTTGCCCCGCAGCGTTTGGCAGACATGCCCGCAGCAAGGGCCACGCCCGCCATGCTAGACAGTCCTGACAGTCTCCAACTCCCCAGAACAGGTGGCTTCGGTCAGGGAAGCCCCTTTTGGTTCCGGAACAGGCACGAACGCATCCGTGCAAAGGGAACCAGCGGCGAACCTGCACAGTCGCTATTCAACGCTTCTCTGTCGGAAAGCCAACATGTCACACAAGCTTCCTCTCCGCAAGGCCTGCGCAATTGACCGACCTTCCCCGCAAAGCCTTACGTGGACTGTGCGTGACGTCTTTTGTGTGGGCAAGTAAGTTGTTTGTGCGACAGCAGTTTTTGTAGCTGCTCAGCTCAATCACACCCAACGATCTACAGTACACAGGTGACATTTCAGTCGGAAACGTCTACCTGCTTGGCGTTCCAAGATTATGGGAATTGGAAAACAGCTCCTTAAGCCCTGCCTAGAGACGGCAGCGCGTTTCCGGTGGCTGCGCCAACAACGGCGGTATGGCCGCCACCCCTCACGTCGACTGCTTGGGCGGCAGTGGTCTCCGCCCTGGGAATGGCAAATGTGCGACTGACCTGGCCGGCTGCAAAGAGAGCAGCCCCAGACGCCATCGTCAAGCACCCTCTGCGCACCATCTTCCTATGACCAGCGCTGTGCCCTCAAGCTAGAACTGAGGCAAAGGTGTACATCAGCATACACCCTTAACACAAACATATGCTTCAGCAAGACACTCCAGTACGAAAGCCATGTTTGTTGGTTCCTCTGCGCTTGCGTGCTTGCGTGCGCTTGTTGAAGCGCCCGCTTGCGCGCATGTTTATGTGTGTTTGCGTGTCTGTGTGTGTGTGTGTGTCTGTATCTGTGTCTGTGTCGATGTCTGTCAGTGTGCGCGCGCGCGTGCGTGCGTGCGTGCGCGCGTAGGTGGGTGGGTGGGTGGGTGGGTGGGTGGGTGGGTGGGTGGGTGGGTGGGTGGGTGGGTGGGTGGTTGGGTGGGTGGGTGGGTGGGTGGGTGGGTGGGTGGGTGGGTGGGTGGGTGGGTGGGTGGGTGGGTGGGTGGGTGGGTGGGTGTGGGTGGGTGGGTGGGTGGGTGGGTGGGTGGTGTGGGTGGGTGGGTGGGTGGGTGGGGTGGTGGGGGTGTGGGTGGGTGTGTGGGTGTGGGTGTGGGGTGGGTGTGGTGTGTGTGTGGGTGGGTGTGTGTGGGTGTGGGTGGGTGTGTGTGGGTGTGTGGGTGGGTGTGTGTGGGTGGGTGGGTGGGTGGGTGGGTGGGGGTGGGTGGGTGGGTGGGTGGGTGGGGGTGGGTGGGTGGGTGTGGGTGGGTGGGTGTGGGTGGGTGGGTGTGGGTGGGTGTGGGTGGGTGGGTGGGTGGGGTGGGTGGGTGGGTGGGTGTGTGTGTGTGTGTCTGTGTGTGTCTCTGTGTGTGTCGCTGTGTGGGTGTCTCTGTGTGTGTGTGTGCTTGTGTGTGTCTCTGTGCGTGTGTCTCTCTGTGTGTCTCTGTGTGTGTGTTTCTCTGTGTGTGCGTCTCTGTGTGTGTGTCTGTGTGTGTGTGTGTGTCTGTGTGTGTGTGTGTCTGTCTCTGTGTGTGTGTCTTTCTGTGTGTGTGTGTCTCTGTGCGTGTCTCTCTGTGTGTTTCTCTGTGTGTGTCTCTGTGTGTGTGTCTCTGCGTGTGTGTCTCCGTGTGTGTGTGTGTGTCTCTGCGTGTGTCTTTGTGTGTGTGTCTCTGCGTGTGTGTCTCTGTGTCTGTGTCTGTGTCTGGGCCTGTGTCTGTGTCTGTGCCTGTCTGTGTGTGTGTCTGTCTCTGTGTGCGTCTGTGTGTGTCTCTGTGTGTTTCTCTGTGTGTCTCTGTGTGCGTCTTTGTGTGTCTGTGTGCGCCTGTGTGTGTCTCTGTGTGTTTGTCTCTGTGTGTGTCTCTGTCTGTGTCTGTGTCTGTGTCTGTGTCTCTGTGCGTGTGTCTCTGCGTGTGTGTCTGTGTGTCTGTGTGTCTGTGTGTCTGTGTGTCTGTGTGTCTGCGTGTCTGTGTGTCTGTGTGTCTGTGTGTGTGTCTCTGTGTGTCTCTGTGTCTCTGTGGGTGTGTCTCTGTCTGTGTCTGTGTCTGTGTCTCTGTGTGTGTCTGTGTGTCTGTGTG